CCCCCCGATGCCTCCTCCCTGCTCCAGCCCCAGCACCCAGACAGCTTTGTCCTGTGCTGGCAGACACCTGCCCCCTGTCATATACCCATCCCCTCCACACATCCCTGCCACACACACACCCTAGACAGTCCCCAAGCCCTGATCCTCCAACCCCTGCGTCCCATAGACTTACCTGCATCCAGCTGTGAGGGCTGGTCGCACCACCCTGTCTGGCTGCATGCCGGCCATGTGCATGTGTGTGCGCAGACTCACGTGATGCCCCCTGCCTCCAATGGTGCCCTGCCCCCTGAGCCCAAAGCAGTTCCTTGCTAAGACAAGTTGCAAAGTGCTAGGAAATAGGAAAAATTTCGATGTTGAGCAGAGCAAAATCCCAGACATTTACTGATATTTTAAAAAAACACCTGGACTGAGATAGGAGGACCTGAAAAGAGGACATGTCCAGAAAAACCTGGACATATGGTAACCCTATCTCTGGCTGTTCCTGGACATGAAATGTATGTGGAGTCCACTCCAGTCAGTCTGGGACAGGTGCGACGTACAGTGCATCTCCTGGACAAGCTGGAATGGGTTCTGGACCTGACAGGTGGGGGACTCATGACCCCTTTTTTCCCCCCTGTTCCCCACACATGCTGGATCCAGTGGCCATTCTGGCTGGTCTGGAACTGAACTACATGCAGCACCTGATCCAGGACTCATATTGCATCCAGGTCCTACCCCGGACCAGCTGGAACAGGCAGCACATGTATTGGATCAGGTAAGTGGTAGGGCATCCTGGACTGGCCTCTTGCAGGTGCCACATGCAATGTGGGTCCTGGAGCAAGTGCTGCATGCAACTCGTACACAAGGGGGGCGGGTCTGGCCCAAGCCTGGCATGTAAGTCAACCTGAGACCCAGTTTGGGCACCAGGGGCCAGATGATGTGGCTCTGTGGGCCAAATCTAGCCTACAGGTTACAACTCAACACCCCTGTTCTAAATGGTTAGCTATATGTACCACAGAGAAATATATTGGCTGGGGTGGAGTGAAGGAAACCTGTTAGCATTGTGTGTTGCAAGTTCTTTGTGCTAGAAATTATCTGAAAATCTGTGATGAACAAACTCCATTTATCTTTTCTTATGATATAAAATAGATTTATTATGAAGTATAAAAATGTTGGTCTAACAGCAGACGTACTTTATCTCCATAACCGTAGAAGACTGTTTCATCAGCATCCTTTTCACAAGCAAAAACCCAATATTGAACTGTATTAAACAATGCATTAATTTTAATTTAAGATGTATTAAAATCTGAGAATAAAAAACAATTGCTCTCTGCATTTATCCATTTTTAAAGATGAAATATTTTATATCTCCACTGAATAATAATTGAGATAAAATACTAAATACAGCTATAACCAGTATTGTTGGAGTGAAGAAAAAAACAATAAATGATTACAAAGTTGTGAATCATCATTTATTAGTGGGTTTGTTTGTTTTTCTTAATGATCTAGGACACCAGAGTTTTACATGGATATTCTTTTGTAGGATACTAAAAATCCAAATTAATAAGAATCATTTGCAAAATGAAGAAGTAAAATGTGAAGTAGAAAGTAAAGACTTACCATGTAGCTGTGTCCTTTGATAGATGACCATAATGCTTATTGTTCCATCATCAGATTTGGCCAGTCTATGTTCACTGCAATGTGGATGGTTTAGCTTCTTCAGCTGAATGAAGCTTCCCCATTTTGGGGTAAACTAACACGAATGGGGGGTGCTGAGGGACCTCCCAGTCCTGAGCAAATGTCTTTTTTTTTTTTTTCTCCATGTTTTCACCCCTCTTGGCATAGGCTTCACACATGCCTCCTAGCAAATGTCCAAAGAAGGGCAAACATCTTGTCTTTTTGAAAAATACAAAAGCTGCTTTGATCCAATGAACAAGAAATGTTATCAAAGCATAAAAGGAACTTTAGATTCAGTCTGAGGTCTGGCTATAATACAGTAGCAATTGCAACCGTCAAAATCCAGAAATAAAGAAAAGCATTGTTTCGTGCTTCGTAATTATGTTAGAACGGGTAACTCAGGAACTCTTCACAAAAGAAAACAGCTTACAACAAAAGCAGACTGGTCATGTTGTCCTTTACCTGCATCAAACCTGTTTGCTATTGTATACATATAATTTCTACAAGGAAGCATAAACACTTTGAGGCAAACACAAGAAGGAGCAATTCAACACTAATTAGGCTTTGAGATGCTTTGAGAGACGGTATTAAATTTCAGTCTGGCCATTCTAAATCTAAAAATTCCTTTGCCTAGGAATTAATAAAGGTAGTAGGCTGCCAATAATCACAAGCTCTTCTATTTTATTTTTACATTCCTATCAGGCACCTCCACAGAGAACGACTGTGCTTTTGAACCAGACTACGCTATTCCTCCACTCCCAATGACCGAAGGTATGCAGCACATTCGGATTATGGAGGGCATGTCCCGCTCTCTTCCATCCTCCCCCTTACTCACACATCAGTCTATCAGTGTTCGGCTCCAACCTGTGAAGAAATTAACTGGTAAGGACTTTAAATAAGTTCAGTGGGGCTTTTAAGGTCAAATGATGCAGAATCTGAGAGCTCTTTGAATAAGTTTCTTTGATCAACTCTTCATTTGTTAACTACATGGCCTGCTTGAATGACAGGATTTTGTAATTAAAGACTGATGTTTTCAGGATCAGGTTACCATAGGTAATGGGATGGATCTCAGTTTGACAGGCAGATCTGTCTACTCTTGAAATAATGCAGTTGGTTTGACATGTTCTACTATTCCAGGAAAGTTCTGATATCAGGATGTATTGTAGTGCCTGTCGTCTTGTGTATCTATTTAAGTCAGACCAACAGATGGAGACATTTAGCAATGTTAAGTAACTGTATGGAAGTTTTGAATGTTAGATAAAAGATGCATCAAAGTAGGTTATGTAATTTGTTACAGCTCTTTACAGTGATATTTCACACAGACGTGGGGGGACTTCAGAAGTGCCTCGGCAATTAGCTCTCATTTGGAAAAAAAATCGGGCCTTAGATTTCTATTGAATCCTGTTTTTAAAAGCTTATTTCTCATGTAAATGTTTTCACTCAAATCTGACATTATTTACTGCCCATCGTTAAAAAGCTTCAGCATAGGGAGCCACAGCTTTGTTAAACTGAAACACCAGCAAGTTCTTTAGAGACAACTGTATTTGGCACATGTTTGGAGGTAAACCCTAGATGCACATTTTATTAAATAAAACTGTTTTTAGCTAGTTAAAGTTTTAAAAGTAAAGTATCCTATAGAACGAGGGGAAAATGTTGTAGCCCTGATGTTAAAATATTTTCATTTTAATTCAGCTGCATTTAGGAAGTAAATTCTCTTTGCAGTGCAGTGGGATTTTGAAGCTTCTATTAAAACTTAACTGGAGTCATAATGAAAAATATATCTACCTTGTTGTTTTGCACCAAAACAAAATCTTGAAACCTGCAGAATGAGAGTAAAATCTCTTGTTCAAAAAAAAAAATTCCCATGTAAGATTTCTGACCTAGCTCCTCATAGAACTGAAAGTTGGTGCAATGTTATCCTGGCTTTTCCTCCAATTTTTTTCTGTCTTTGGGCAGGTCCACAAGTGCTTGTTCACACCAATTCCCCCTTTGACACCAAGAGTTATTAGGAGTTTGGTGTATAAATAGACATACATACCTAAGTATCTTTGTAAATCTAGACCCTATAGTCTGTTTGCGTTTCAAGACCCAGGCTATGAAGATCAGGATAACGCTATTTCCTGACTCCTGACTGGAGTTTTTTCTATTTAAAATTTCTATTTCTATTTAAATTATAAACTCTAGTTCCTGTCACAATGACACTGTGACACAGTGACACTGATCTCAGTCTTCACATCTAAGCACTACTGAATATAAATAAAAATAACTTGATCATAGATACAGTGTCTCAGCAACTTCACACTTGACTTCTGTCTGAGAATTGTGGGCTTGCAGTTTTGTCTTGCATAAGCAATACACAACATTTCTGTTGTATTAGTTAGATGTTCTTATACTATGACATAGCATGTGTGAGTGCGTTGTGTTTATCATGAGAGCCAACTTTGACTACCAAAATTGGAGACTGATTCTCAAAGTAAATTCTTATGCATTTTCTCACTAATAACTTTGCTCTTTGAGGTTAACAGAAAAGGGAAGCAAGGTAGAATCCAGTCCCTCTTTTCCATTATGCTTCTGGATTCCTTTAAAAAACTTAGCTAGTACCCTGATAGGTGCATGCAGGAATAAAAGAAATACCACTTTTCTCTTACTGGAGTACTGAGAATATATTTCTTTTGCAGTGTTACAAACTCAGTACAAACTTTTATAAGGGATGAACATCCCATTACATATAATTTCGCAACAATTCAGAACGCCAGATGAAGATTGCAAAGAAGCAGGGAATAAGACAGGGTACTTGTCTGCAAGGCAAGTAGACTGAGAACTCCACGTACAGAGAAATAACTTTTCTTTCTGCATTGATTGACTCTGCAGATCCACTGGAACAAATCATACCCTGGAGGGAGGGCTGAGAATAGAAATAAAATATTTTTAGCGTGATTCCATTCATTTCAGTTGTAAAACTCTCGAAAGGCAGGAAGAATTACATATTTTGGACTTCCCTTACAACATTGTTAACCATGCTGTAGGGCTGGATAGTTATTTCTAATATTTGACCTTTTGGTGACATTTCTTGTGTGAGGGTGGAAATGCTTTTTAGTTAAGAGTTGGTGCATAAATGCTCATACAAAAATGAAACCAAACGTTTTATTACAATAGGGATCCCATGTGTCGAGTACTTAAATTATCATAAAAGAATGTTGGTCTCCGTATTAATATTTGCAAGGTATATTAATAATCATTGCACTTATTAATAATTAATATATAAATAGACATCAATATAGTTGTTAATTGTATTAATATCCAATATTAATAATATTGGTATCAATATTAATAATTGGCAGGGTCATTAGTATTCATCACTCAGAGTATTTTTGGAGAACAGATGGTTGATACATCATTTAGTAAGAACATCGCCTTTGAGTTTTTCATTTAGCTTATAGGATTAGTTATATCTTTGGTTTAGTTAGCAGTCAGAGAATTCTTGGAGAGAGGAGTTTAGGAAATGTGATATTTTATGCCTCCATATTAATTTTTAAATTATTCCATAAGAAATATTTCATGTTCAAAATATGCTTTTTCTTTTTATCTGTTGCTCTGGAGCTGGGGAGGGAATGTTTAACCAGCCAGTTATGTTTGGAGAAATATATTTTATTTGATTTTAAATTTTTAGTCTGTTCAACCTAGGATAATACTTTGTTTAGATTTCTTTCTTATGCATAGAAGAGATGCCTTTTTTACTAGTTGTACTATTATCTTTGAAAAGCAAAAGTGGTTTCTTTGGATAAGTTAGCTCCACTCAAGTCAAGGACAAAACAGGCCAAGATTTCACCCATGCCTTTTCCTTCTTACTTGCCTTGAACCTAGAGGATTCAGTAAACGCCTCCCTATTAACTTTCTTTAAAAGTGAAGGATTCTAGGGCAACAAACAATAACATTTACAATAAATTAAAATCCCATATCTCTCTCATTGAATATATTTTTCCCCTTATACACTTTTGGTAATGCTGAATAACTTCCTCTCCATATTCCCCTGCTTTTAAAGAGACTGATGCAGAGCTACAGAGTCAAGTTAGAGATGCCCAACTTCACATATATACTAAGAGATCTCCAATTAGAGCCCATTCACATTGTTTTTCAGATTTCTGGCTCTCTAAGCAATGCCTCCATAGTATTTTCAGCCTTACAAACATACTTAGGGGAAGATTGGGCCTGGGGGTTAAACTTGTCTTCATTGGTGACAGCACTTGTCAGTTAGTTTGTGTGATCCAAAAGTAATGTGGTTTGTTTCAATTTTTCAAATTGGTCCATATGCCTTTATAATAAGCTTTTCTGGGCAGGTGATATGTGTCTTATTTGCACTGTGTAAATATACAGCCCTTTATGCATTACCTTAAATAATAGTGAACTTTTAGTTTGTTTAGTATAGCTGTGGATTTCCCATGCTTTGTCTGTGTGGTTAACAAACACACTAAACAGTTTGCTTTCTTCTTGTTACTTTGATGCTCATTTTGCTTGCACATAACACTTTATCCAGTATTTACAGTGATTGAGATGCATGTTAAAGATTCTCTTTTGTGAGGAATCAAGTTTCCCTGAAAACATATCTTGAATTTATGTATTTTTATGTAGCTACTCTTCCCTAACCAAATAATGTTCCTCACCTGGTTATGGCCTGATAGGGCCTTCTTTTGCTCTGAAAGTTAGTGACTACTGTCTTATCAGTTCTCTGAGTTTCACTACCACTCTACTCTGATGAAATAAAAATGAAAATGTTATCACCTACCTCACTGTAGAGTTGACTGGTGTTGCTCTGTGATGGATAGCACCAGCAGGAAGGGAGAGCATACGTTTAGGAATTAGGGTGGCCACTGACACATCCCCAGAATATAGGATAGACCTTTGGTGAATGATGACACTTCTCAGCCAATCAGAGGTGAGGAATGGGGCCACTGCCTCCTCAGCCAATCAACAGTGAGGAGTGGGGCCATTGGGCCCCTTGGTCAGTCAGCAGCAAGGGGCCATTCCCCCCTCTGCCCTTTCCTGGCTCACTCAGAACCCCTGTCCTCCTGGCTGTGCACCACCCTACCTCTAAGCGCAGCCAGTAGAATCACGGAGACAAGTGATTGACATGTATTTCCACCAATGAACTTCTGTCTGTTCCTCATTCAGAAATGGACAGGGGACAAAGGGTTTAAAAACAGGATGGTCGGGTATAAAATAGGATCAGTGGCTGCCCTATTGGGAACCCAATGAGGTATGGCCTTTCCTCATTTTTTCAAGGGTCAAGGTTCAACCAACTAACATGGGTTTAAGGTTATTAAATGCTGTCTGCAGTAGTAGTCAAACCTGGCAGTATGTGTTACTAGCATTTTAAACAACGTCAGTTTTCTAACCTAGATGTGGCTTTTGTCTTTTGACCTTTGGAGAATGCTGCAAGTTGTGTCGGTTTACCTAATGTGAAACCTATTCTTCTCTTCTCAAACCTTTGCAGTGTCTGATGCATGTATGCACAAGTCTGTGGAGCTGGGAAGAAGGAATTGGATATCACAAATCAAAATAGGCGAATGGTGTAGGCCACTTTATGGACTGGAGCAGTCTCAGGCTGCCTTTTTAAGGCCTTAAAATAGGATGTTTAAATTTATTCCTTCCTCCACTGCTTTATTTCAAGTCAGCTAAAAGCCTCACTCCTCTATGAGTATGATGACATAATTGTGTCTCCATGGCTGCACAGATATCTTCCTTCCCTCAGGAGAAATGCAAGTGAGATGCTCTGCAAATACTAGGATGAATTTCATCCTCAGGCTTTTGAATGCATATAAGGGAGTGAGGATCATAGAATCATAGAATAGTAGGACCAGAAGGGACCTGTAAGATCATCAAGT